TTATATCTAAAAATTCTTTTAATAAAGTTGTTAATCTTTCAACTTCAAATTGTGCTGATTTAATTTGTAATTTAAGAGTTTCTAAGTCTATTACACGTGATGTTAAAGATTGCTTTATAAATTTAACTCCATAAGTTTCAAGTGCTTCGTCAAATGCAAAAAAATGATTTGCACGAGTTATATTTACTGAAGCTACATAATGAAGGATTGTTTCTAAATATGGATCTGAATCTATTTCATGTAAAGCATATACTACTGAATTTGCATAATTTAATTTTCCTGCTACATAAAATAAAGGAGAAAATGCTTTTAAATTTTCAATTTGCATATCAAAATTTCCAGTTCGTATACCTATTTTATGACCTTTCCATAATCCTGCCCATTGCCAATAATATGCCCAAACCTTTACAATTTCATTTTTAGATTTTAATATATCTTTAATAGTAATTGAATTTATTGCCATATATAAATGTAAAGCTATTCCTACAATAATCCAAATTAAATCTAAAGTTCTTGAAGTAGCTCGATAGTCAACACATTTTTGAAAATTAGTTAAATATTTTGCACCAAGGGCAGCAGCTAAATTAAAAATTCCATAACCAGAAAAGATATTAATTAAAACTCCACACATATCCTTATTTAAGTGCCAAGGTCCTAATAATATTCTTGTATGTGGATTTGCTATTGTTTTATAATTAACAATCCGTCTAAAAATTGATTCATCAGCTGAAATATCAAGACGCGTTTGAAATTCTAAATATCCTTCATTATTATAAGCTAATATAGGTGTAAGATCAATATCTTCAAGATACATTTCACATGATTCATATATTCCTTCATCATCATTAGGCTTTTCTCCAGCTTCTAGTATTATTATATTAGGAGGTAGAATATTAGTACATCCTTTTGAAATATATGATAAAATTTTTTGATGAATATTACTATCATCAAAATTATTAAAAAAATATAAAGATCCATCAATATATTCACATTGTAAAAATTGCTGAAAAACTACTTTAAATAAATCTAAAGTTTCTATTGAAAATGCATTATGACCAAATAATTTTCGCCGATAATTAGGTATCATTAATGAATTCTTTGAAATTATTGCATAAAGAGGAAGAGGTAGTGTAAACTGAAAAACCATCCTTAAAGTTGCATGTGAAGTATTACGAGGTGTATCATATAAATTTCCCCATCGAAATGATTTTGCCATAAAGTCAATATTATCAATTACAGCAAGATTCCAAATATGAGATCCATGAATTAGTTTTTCTTTTGGAAAAATTTCTTTCATTCTTTTTAATTCTAATCTACTTTCATGTTTTTGTGTATGTGCAATTATATGGGCAGCTTGTAAAATAGCTTGTAATGAAGGTAAAAATGAAGGTCTTCGACAAAGACTTGCTAATAAATAAGTGAGCCAAAAATGTGTATGTTTAAATGCTATAGTTAAAATTACAGAAGTTAAGAAAGAAACAATACGAATTGATTTAAATTTATCTAATTTTTGATATATAAATTCAGCTCCTTTTTGAATTGCTCTTCTTTTCCGTTGAGCTTGTGCATTTTCATGTTGTTTTTTTAATAATATTTCAATAAGTCCCAAAAAAAACTTTCTAATTATTTCTGGTAAATTATTATAATATTCTAATAAAGTTGATGGATTAGAAAATATTTCTTTTTTTTGTCGTATATCATTTTGTAGATATAATAAGTTTTTACCCAAAAGTTGACCGAAATCATAACATTCTTGTGATGATATTTGTAGTTTTTTATTTATTACAAGTTTATCGGCTTTTCCGAGCTTAAGTGCTGATTTGACCATAAATAAGCTTGGTGTATTAGATGAAATATTTGTTAAAGAAATGTCTTTATTATTTATTATTAATGAATGTGATAATTGGGATAAAAGTTTGGTTTTTAATAATGAATCCTGCGATTTTGCAACATCAAAAATCCATTTACTAATTAATTCTAAACTTTTTTCGGTATCATTATTGTGATAATTATTTTCTATACAAGATATATGCCTTTTTCCTTGTCCAGGAGGAATGTGGATATGACCACCATTTAAATTAAAACAAATTTGACAAATATAACGATATTTTAAATTTTTTTGTTCTGAGATTTTTTTAAAAATAAATGATTCTTGACTTAATTGTATTGCTGAACATGAAAATTGCGTTAGACAAGGAATTAAAAGATTTTTTTCAATTAAATTACAAGAATGAGAATAACATAATTTTCCACGAGATATAATATAAATATCTAAATTGCAAAAAAGACATCTTCTAATCGTAATCATAGATTGTTCTGTTGATATTTTTGCTTTATGACCTGTTTCATGAAAGTTTTGATCTAAATTAAAATGTGTTTTACAAACACCAAGTTTACTAGGTTCAGCATTTCCTATTTTAACAGATTCTGAATTAATTTCCCAAATTCCGACTAACTGCCATAATTTCCGAATACTTGGGTTTTGGCATTTATTAATCTCTTCAGTTTTTGGATCCATAACCATAATTGCACAAGTGGAATGACAT